GGGGAAGGGGCCTTCTCCTCTTTGCTAATCGTTGTAGAGAGACAATCATTGGAGCTCTCCAAGGATTGGATGTACAGGGGCCTGACTCGGATCCCATGCGTCTCAGCAAGCACTCCATTAACAGAAGTCTGAGCCTGTCTTACCTGAATTTCTTAGATTTGCTCTTAAATCCTGAGTGGATCTTACATTTGGAAGGGATGGGAGACTCCTTGAGAAGCGAAGGCAGCTTGAATGTCCACTACTGCGGGGGAAAGACCTACAGGCAGGTCTGGCAGGTTTTGAAGCCTAGGATCACGGGCATAATCTGCACTTGAGGCAACGGTTCAAATTTCTGAATCAAGCAAAAAAAAAAGTGGGGGGGCGGGGGGGACCCTCCTTTTCAAAAGCACAAATTGTGCTAAACCAAAAATAAAGAAAGAAAATTCTAAGAAAATACAGCAGGGGTAGGTAACTTATGGCACATGTGCCAAAGGCAGCACGCGAGCTGATTTTCAGTGGCACTCACACTGCCCGGGTCCTGGCCTCCGGTCCGGGGGGCTCTGCATTTTAATTTAATTTTAAATGAAGCTTCTTAAACATTTTAAAAAGCTTATTTACTTTACATACAACAATAGTTTAGTTATATATTATAGACTTATAGAAAGAGACCTTCTCAAAACATTAAAATGTATTACTGGCACGTGAACCCATAAATCAGAGTGCATAAATGAAGACTCGGCACACCACTTCTGAAAGGTTGCCAACCCCTGAAATACAGAAATTTTAGCGAGAGGTGTAGCAAGCCATGGGCTAGCTAGAGGACACCATAATGCTCTGTCTCAAGCTGCCGGCAGCTGAGACAGAACTGGGGTGGTGGCAGGTCCATCTCTCCCTATATACCAGAGTATGAGGGCATCTAGGGCACACGCATAGATTCACAGACACTGCTGATGAAAAATCTCTGACCCTGAGTGCACAGTTGCGCACACATCTTGACCTCTTGATGTGGTACACTCAGAGACAATACTCTAAGAACAAAGGATTTTCTACACAGCAGCACCATTGTGACAGATAGAACTGCAGCTTCTCAGCCTGGGCATATGGCAAAAGGAGAGAGACTCTGTATTTCAGGGTACATCTACACTGCATTTGGGAGCATGCTTCCCAGAACGAGCAGGCAAACACACATGCTAGCGCTGCTCAAGCTGACATAATAAAAATAGCAGCATGGCTCCAGCAGTACAGGTAGCAGCTCAGGTTAGCCAGCTGTAGTATAGACATAGTGTAAGACCATCGTCATATGTAAGCAAGACCAGTTAGAAAGAAAAACATCAGAAATGTGACATGGATAGTCTGAAATACTGAGAAACCTTGGACTCTCTCAGAAGTGGCGAGACCAGACTGCAGGAGTGGGGATGTTACAGAGGTTCTGTTATTTTGCAAAGAGCTGTAAGTCTCTGGTACATTTTCAGAAGAAAATGACTGTGATTAAGGAATTTCTTTGTTAACCCTGTGTTCCTTAGTTTGCTGTCAAGTTGTCCCTGAGTGATCACAGCCTAGGCGGGGCCATGAGGGAGAGTGTTTAAACAACTTTGGGGGTGGACCTTTGGAAGTCAGGGTCTGGGGTGGCTGAACTGTGAAGTTCCAGGTCCCAAGGACAGGCTCAGAGAAGAGGTCTGCACCTGGGAATGTGCCTTACAGACATAGAGCTCAAAATAGTGACTAGAAACTGCCAAGACCCAGTTGGCTTGCAAGCACCTGGGACCCTGTAATTAGATCCACTTGCAACATACAGGTGACATTACAGAGGGATAGTGGGCCAGGTTGTAACACAGATCACATTGTTCTGTTCTTGGTTCTGTTACATACTATGTATGAGACCCTTGGACAACCTATTTGTGTGTCCCCTATTTAAAATGGGTTTAACATTAGTTTCCCTACCTCAAAGGGTTGTTGTGAGGCTTGATGTTTACCAAGAATTTTGGAATGTGAGAGTGTAAGATGCTATACACAGTAAGTGCTAAGTATTATTAGGTTTCTCCAAATAACAAAATCTATTTTACAAAAATAAGAATTGCATATCCATGAACCTTAGAGGTTTCAAAAAAATGGGGGGGGAGAAGAGAAAGAAGGTGGTTAAGTACCAACAATACTTGTCCAGCTCCATCAACACATGATGAATTTGCACCCTAGACCTTTTGATGCCTCACTGGAATTTCTGAAGCACTGAACAGGTCCTAAAGAACAAGTTTATTTGTATCTAAAAAAAGAAATAAGAGCTTGTTAAATGTACTTAACGGTGCAAAGCTATACACCGGAATGCATAAGTAGGTTTTATACTCTGAAACTGATAAAGAACATTAAACAGTATTACCTATTTTTAATGGGAAAGCCTATGAACTTTTTCTACTTTATGCCATAAACTGCATTAGCAGTCTCAGAGCTGGCTGACTTAATTATCTCAGAAACTTTACTTAATATTTTATCTCCTTGTCTGAATGTCTGGGAGCTCCTTAAACTCAATATATTATACTATAAACCTCGATTAAGAGAGTAATTTGGATTGTTTATCTGTAGCTGAAGGGGGGAAATGAGCTATTTCTTGAGGACCTGCTTTAAACTACCAAGAGATTAATTGTGAATATAAACTACGAGAAGAATTTTGATCTCCTGCAAAGGATCAAACCTCAGACTAAAAAATAATCCTGTTGAACAACAGTTAATGGCTGGAACTGATCAGTGACAGATTAAGAGAATTCAGTTCCTAGAGGGAGAGATTTAAGAGCCCCTAAATATCACAATATAATTTCCAATGTATGATGGAACACTATTATATTTAATAATAATATGGAATGTCGGGTTCCTCTCTAACTTAGGTGCCCTGACCACAGCTCTATCAGCCCTACAGTTAAACTGATCTCAAGACTGACTAGTAATTATGTGAGTAGGAAAATGTATAACCCTTTAAATGTATTAAAATAGCACGTGTCAAGGTGGATAATTTACTAAAAACTACCTGTGCACTGGAATCTACTGATGCTTCCTGTGATCTATGAGTTTCTTACTTCCTGGAAAGGAAGTCAACAATTTATTTTTATGGAGGATTAATGGGTGGCTAGTCCAGACACAGAAAAATTCTTGCCAAAAAACAAAAACCACTAGCAGTTTAAACCTGCTTCATTCAAAAGCGAAATTCCACTGTCAATGAAATCACTAATGCCCCCATAGTCAGGGAACTACGTCTGATTCCTACTGAAGGATCTGCTGGAGTGCAACTGCTTCTTTAGTTGCTAGGTAACAACCAACTAATTATATGCCATTATCAGCACCCTGGAAAAGGAAACTGGCATCTGCTTCCCATTTGGAGATACCAGTGATTGAAATAATAGCAATGCTCTGACTGCCAAAAATCCTTGGTCTCCCAGGGACTGGTTTGTGAATAAAGCAGGTGCTGACTTGAGCATCATCTCTAAAGTTTTAGGTTATGTCGCTTTTGTGATCTTGACCAACACAGCATGCCAGAGGGATGGAGTTGCCGGTCCCAGTCATTGACACATTATTAATGCAGAAAAATATCCTCCCCCTAAATTATGGCTTATCTGATTGGTGAGATGTTAACCACAAAGACCTATTGTGAAGCCTGTACTAGAAACAGAGGGGAAATCAACAGCACTAAGATGGGAACAGGCTGGGAATGAAATGATTTGGAGGAACTTGCTGAGGTCAAGCAGAACTCTTGCAGTCACCTAGCTGTATTTTTTAAATCCCTGAAATAGATGTCAACAGTGAGCAATGTGGGCCACTATGCAAAAGTCTAAACATGTAGCCTTAATGCATTTCTTTTAATTCATTAGTACATCGCAGTTCCATTCATACTGAGAAGGGAAAATAGGTCTGTCAAGAAACAAAAAAGCCACCCAGCTTCCGAATGCCAAAACCAGAAAATGAATACATTAACTAATGATGTATTTGCATCACACAGAGACAAGAGCTAATGATTTTCATACAGTATACACATGAGTACCCTATCAAAACACTCTGGGTGGTAGGTGAATAAACAAATATGTAAAGAAAGTAGATCCTAAAGACATGCATGGTTCCTTGTATTCATATTCAAATATCTACATCTGATTTAGTCAAATCTGAAAACAACACAAAAAGAATAAGGAAAGATATAAACAGTGGAGATGAATACTTTAAGCATGCATGGCCCCTAGCACAGCCTTGTCTGAGGAGCATACTGAAATGCAGAAAGTTTTACTTTTCATCTTTCTTAATGTTTATGTTCAATTCTTTAACCCTCGATGGGGTTGAAAACCCACCATAGTTAAGTAGAAGATATCCATTTTTAAATTCTTCAATAAATAAACTCAATGTATAGGAACCAAAATGAAGGGAATACCCAGAGATTTTAATTCTTAACACAAATAAAGTGTCAGCTCCTAACATCCATTCAAGAAAATTATGAGCAGTGCCACTGACGACACTGATGTCATTAGGACTACTCACAAGCTTAAAGTTAGGCATATGTTTAAGTATCTGACTGAAGCAGGGTCATGCTGAACACTGCTCCTACAATGGACTATTGTTCACAAGTGTCCATTTCCACATTAGTGATATGCTTATTTTATTTATGCACATTCCTTGTCATTGGTGTATGAATCTTGCAACTTTCAACTGGAAATAAAGTAATAGATTTTCTAACCGTTAAGCACAACTCCAAGTTTCAATGGGAGTTAAGTACCATTTGAGTCTTTGAAATTTCCCCTGAAGTGACTGATATTAAGAAGAAAATAAATTACTATAAAGCATATTTTCCCTTTTGCTCAGACGCTTATGAATAACCGTACCTAAAAGGCAGTGCAAAACAAACACACATTTGACACATTGTTAACGTGCAAAACACATTCAAACATTGCACACTAAGGGCATTTCTTTCAATAATTGCTCAACTTGGAGTTCAGCCTTCAATAGAGGTGCTTTTTTCTATCAAGCAAACAACATTTTAGGTAACGCCTTACCTGCCTCAACAATTTCTCTATAGCTGACATTACCATGAGTCCTCTCCACACAACTGGTGTAGTCTCTTCTACCAAGAAACCCATTGACATACTGAAACAATAAAGCAAAAATTTATCTTTCAAAACATGATACAAAACAAAATTATCTGAAATAAATCTATAAAGTAAAACATATGCTCACCATGCAATGCCATAGTTCTTAAGGGGTCTCATTAAGTTTTCTAAAATAGAAACAAAATTATTGATTTTTTTTAAAAACTAAGCAATTTCTTTATATTCATAAATACATCCTCACCTATTCTTACTGAGGTAGTTTTTCACCCAAATCAGCAGTAGGAGTTGCCTCAGTGCTTTCTGTATTTTATCCATCGAGCCACATTTTCAAAGTAGCATTCTGCATGATGGTGAGTTTTCAGGCCCATCCCTTTCTTAGGAACTTAGGCCAGGTCTACACTACAAAAACTTACATCAGTATAACAGCATCGCTCACAGGTATGAAAAATCCACACTTCTGATCAACCTACCTAACTCCCGGCGTAGATAGCGCTATACTGACGGGGGAGCTTGTCCCATTGACATAGCTACCACCTCTCGCAGACGTGGATTAACTCTCCTGTCTGCTTGGTAGCATCTTCACTAAAGCACTACAGAAGCACAGCTTTTTAAGTGTAGATCTGCCCTCAATCTCTACTAGCTCAGGCTTCAACCTTCACATATATCTCTATTAGAGTGCATCAATACAAACTCAACCATGCCTCCTTCGACATCCTATGCAAAAAGAGAAATCAAGCTTTCTTGAGTGGTTTGCCCAGCATACCATGTGATCAATCATGTATACCTTATGTATTTCCTTTGTTAGCCTTCTATCAAAACCCGTAGGACTCATTTATCACAAGCTGTATATGGTGAGGACAGCAGGTCTATCTTATAAATGAATAGTTAAGATGAATATAACCGATGAATGCAACACCCTGGTGTGACCCAGAGGCCCCTTGCCAATGGTTCCTCCCTGTTCTTTGCAAACAACTCATCTCAGATCTGACAACACCAAACATATCTTAGAGTATTTATTCACAAGGGTAACATGTAAGGTATCTACAGAAAGCTCATAACTTTTCAAAACTCAATCATTCTGATATGTGCATACAAGTAATATTTATGGAACAATTTAACTACATTGAAAGTATGCTTTCAGATGTAAAAGTTAGTCAGCGTGGAATAATAAGTGATGGCCAACTGGAGCAGGCGGGAGTTGTCACTCCTCCCTGCTTAGTTGGGTATGTAATGCAAGTCGCAAGTGTCTAGCCTTGCTCCATCCCAAGACTAGCAATGGTAAACCATCAGAGACAACTGCAAACAATCAAAACTTCTTGGAGGTAAAAAGGAACATTATTACACACAGGATCTCCCTGTCTATGAAGTCACGCAAAAGACTGTTTCAGTGTAATACAGAGTGAGGAGAGGAAACGCCTGGTGGAAAGGGGGTGTTTTTCATGAAAGTTTGGATCCTGGTTTAAGTGAAGCCAGCCAGTTCGCAACAGACTGAACTTTGGGAATGAAAACCTACTTTATTAGAAGAGAAAGGTAACTATTAATAAATGTAGGCCCTAGTTCCCATTTTATGATTTTATTTTGTACTGTAATCATTTGTTTCTACCACTCTCTCGTTTTTTTGTTGAATCTCTATTCTTTCTTAAATAAACTTTCTCTTGTTTTATTACAAGTGCTGTGTGTTATACAGGATTGGTGGTTTAAGGTAAAACTGAAGTACACTGCTCCTTTGCGGGCAGAGAATCTGGGATTTCTGTGAATATTAGCATCAGAGGCTGGACATCACAGGGTAATGCTTCAAAGGTGACTCAGGTAGGTACAAGGGTGCATCTCTTGTTAACCTGTAAGGCAAAGACAGGGCTGTCATTGCCCAGAGAAGAGTGCCTGAGTGGCTAACAGGCTGGTGGAGTTAGAAAGCTAACACCCAACCAATATGTGCAAGGCTATCTCTCGCTAGAGGCAGCCATTCCCAGTCTTTATTTAAGCCTAAATTGATAGTATCTAGTTTTCATATTAATTCAAGTTCAGCAGTGTCTCATTGGAGTCTGCTTTTGAAGCTTTTCTGTTGCAAAATTGCCACCTTTAAATCTGTTACTGAGTGGCCAGAGAGGTTGAAACGTTCTCCTACTGGTTTTTGAACGTTATGATTCCCAATGTCAGATTTGTGTCCATTTATTCTTTTGCGTAGAGACTGTCCGGTTTGGCTAATGTACATGGCAGAGGGACATTGCTGGCACCATGATGGCATATATCACATTGGTAGACGTGCAAGTGAACGAGCCGCTGATGGCATGGCTGATGTGATTAGATCCTATGATGGTGTCACTTGAATAGATTTGTGGTCAGAGTTTTATTATTTTATTTATCAGGCTTTATTCCAAAGATAGGTTCCTGGGTTAGTGTTTTTGTTCTGTGCTGTGTGGTTGCTGGTGAGTATTTGCTTCAGGTTGCGGGGCTGTCTGTAAGCAAGGAGACAGACTTCATAAAGAAATTATGAAATGTTAATTTTCTGAAATAACTAGGCTCATTTTGACATTTCATTTTATGATTTTTTCCATTAGAAAATATTAACAAATCATCAACTCAAATCACCAAAAACACAGAAAAGCTTAAAAAGAAGTTTACAATCCCTCCACAGCCCTTCCACTTTACAACACAGCTCGTTTCTTCTTCAACTCCTATTACATTAATTTTCTGGGGGTAAAAAGCAAATTAATTCAGAATGCATCAATTCAGTTTTAAAGAGAGTTAAAAATAAAAGCAGAAAAACAGCTGCTTGCTGTAAGATTATGATACAAAAGTAGGTCTGGCATAAGTAGGGAAAATATGCTGAATTTGATCATGTATTAGTCAACTACATTTCAAAGTAATGTTAATGTATGATTTTGTACTAAAAGCACAAGATGAGTGAGTTGTCTGAAGCCACTACCTTCCATCAAGGGTGCCTTCCCTCCAATCATCAAATTGATTCACCAGATAGCCTTGAGGTCTTTGTGGATCCAAAGCCTTTTTCTACCTGTAGCTGGCCAGAAGACAGTGTTATTCCATTAAACTGATTTGGCTACAGTGAACCACAAATTAGGGACCACTATGATTTATTATTTAATTCACTGTATCTAAGAGGAATGAAGCTGACAACTCTGAAAAACTTCCACTTGATTCAAGATGCAGCATCCTACCTACTCAGCAGCAGATCACTCCTACATTCGGCTCTCTGCATAGCTCTATGTGCAGCACAGAATCAAATTCAAGGTTTTTGTCCAAATATTCAAAAGCCATTTACTGGATTAGCCCAGGTTACCTGAAGAACTGACTACCTCCCTCTATACAATTATAGCTGCTCCAGTCAGCTAGTGCACTAGAAAGGTCAACAACAACAGCGAGAATTGTGAGGATAGTGGATAGAGCTTACCTACCACTGGACTGCAATTCTGAAACTAACTTCTATAACACATCAGACATCCCACCTTCAGAACAAAATGCAAAGCTCACTTATTTAACTTAGCTCTCTCAGAGCAAATAAATTCATTAATACACAAAGATAAAACTGATAGAAGAAAAGGAAACTGGAGATAAAGGTCCTGTTAAAAATATATTTTAAAAGTTGTAATACCCTGAAATACCTTGGTGATAAGCATGGTATGAAAATGAAGGTAGGTAACCTGAGTTTTATTTCCAACTCTACCAAAAATTATTTTTTTAGATTTATTGAATGTGTTAGTTCTTTTTGTGCCACTTTAAGCAAGTCAGTCTTTATAGCCCAGATTCTCCAATTGTAAAGTGGCTATATTACATGCTTCACAGGGATGCTGTGAGGTTTAGAGAAACACTATCAACCTAAAAAAAAATTTAGGCAGGTGTCATTTTTACTTCTTTATTGTTAATTTTAACCCCTATAATCATTAAAGAAAAACAAATAGGAAAATAGAGAAAATATGGGTTATGTACTCAATAACACTTCAGATCTATTAAACTTCACTGTTTCTCCTGGAATCAGTACGTTTTACTGTATGTGGGATGGTTTCATAAAAGAACCGGCAAGAAAATCATGCTAAAAATAGGAAAGTGTGATTGTAAGATGACAAAAATTAGCAGAAAGAGTCAGGAATACATGTAATATTTAAAACTATTTTAAAATTAATTTTTAAATTGGCTAGATTTTAAATTGTCTCTGATGTTTTAATATCTCCATTCTACTGAGAAAAGTGACTCTAAAAATGGCATTCTGGATTTTCATATTTATTGCCTATCAATTTATTCTAGGTCAAATATGTTCAGCTTACAAACAGAAACAAGTACACATGCAAACATATTTATGACCGCCATTGTTAAAAACTCTACCTGAAAGCTCAGAGTTAATCTGGTTTCTTCCTTTATTACGGTGGATGATGCATAAGTTATGCAGACTAAATTATTCTCCAATTTGCACTTGTGCAACCTAATTGTTTTCAGTGAGGTTGTACAGATGTAACTTATTGGTCCTTGTGATAAATGAGAGGTGGGATAGCTCCCTTTTGTGGACACCCAGCCAGCCAGCCAGCCATATAATCCCTCTTGGTAGTTGTTCTCTATTTGCTTTACCTGTAAAAGGTTAACAAGCCCACAGGTAAAAAGGAAAGGAGTGGGCACCTGACCAAAAGAGCCAATGGGAGGCCTAGAACATTTTAAAATTGGGGAAAAGCTTCCATTTGTCTGTGTGTTGTGGTTCTCCGGGGAAGAGGGGAACAGGGCAGCAATTATGCTGTGAGAAGCTTTAAGCCAGGTATGAAAAACCATCAGATCATACCTAGAGATTACTTATCTGAAACCCCAGATATGTAAGTAAATTAGGGAATGTCCAGGAAGACGCGATTAGGTTTATTTCTGTTTACTTCTTATTGGCTTGTGGACTCCTCTGTGCTAACCTCAAATGTTTTTGTTTTGCTTGTAACCTGGAAGCTGGACCACAAGAAGGTTATTCTTGATGTTTAATTCATGTAAGTGGTTATTTTAAATCTAGAAAAGCCTAAGTTCTAGATGTATTTTCTTTTTGTTTTTAATAAAATTTACCTTTTTTAAGAACAGGATTAGATTTTTGGTGTCTTAAGAGGTTTGTGCATATTTTGTTTAATTAGCTGGGGGCAACAGCTAATTTCCTTTGTTTTCCTTCTCAATTCTTCCCCGGAGGAGG